TATGAGCTAGCATGTGGTGTATTTTGGAGAATGACCCATGTGCAGCTGAAAAGAATGTGTATTCTGATTTTGTGGGGTGAAACACTCTGTAAACATCTATTAAGTCCATTTGTTCAATAGCTTGGTTCAGTTCTAGAATTTCATTGTTAATTTTTTGTCTAGATGATGTGTCTATTTTAGGGACCATGTTTTATTCATCATTTTATATCCAGAATGACCTGTGAGGTCAGTTTTATTATTAATTGCTATTTTACAGGCAAAAAAACTCAAAGCAAAGGGAAGCCACACAGGCACAGAATAAGAAAGCCGATGTTGAATCCAAACCTCTGTGTGAATTCCTTTCCATACTGCTATGCAGCGGCATTTAATAAAATCCACTGAATGAATGAGTGAGTGATAGCAGATATCTCCATTTCTTTCCTGCGCTCTTAAACCGCAAGTGTCAAGTGGCTCATGCCGAGCCGTCTCTGTGAACCTGCTGGATCTTGAAGCCCAGAGGTTGATGGAGAATTCAGGACAAAAGCAAAGTGAGGGAAACATGACTTTGGCCCTTGTTGGTAAGGGAGGACCTGCTTGGCATAGTCCTGTGGGCACCCTGGTTTCTGAAGCAAGGAGAGGCCAATGGAGCAGGGATAAATGAAGTCCTCACCACACAAAGAATATTGGCTCATAAATTCCTCAGTGAGATTGGACTCCTGTATTAATGATCTCTCTCCCTGCTCACAGCCAGTCTCACAGATCTTCTACAATTTGAGATGGGATTCTTACATAAGGAGGAAAAGCTCAGAGCAATGCAATGACATTAACAGGAGCAGGGCTGGGCGTGGTGGTGCATACCTGTCATGCTGGGATGCTGAGGCGGGAGGATTACAGGTTCAAGCCCAGACTGGGCAATTTAGAGACTCAGTCAGACCCTGGCTCAAAGTAAAAACTAAAAAGCGCCAGAGACATAGCTCTGTGTGAAGGCCCTGGGATTGAATCCCCAGTATGGTTTGGGGTTTGGGGGTGGGGGAGGAACAGAGGCTTGCACGCCATTTACAAGAAAAACAATTCTTAGGGAATGATTAAAAGCAAAAGGCTTATCCAAAGTATTTCATTTTGGCACTTTAGTATATTTACAGATAATTTTTTTATTGTTGCTTTGAGACAGTTCAAGCTGGTGTGGCAGTTCCAGCTAGCTTTGCACTCACTGTGTGGCCCAGGCTGGCCTCAAACTCATAGCGATCCTCCTACCTCAGCCTCCTTCTGAGTGCTAAGGTTATAGATGTGTGCTACTATATCTGGCTTCAGATGTTAAATCTACATGGATCTTAGATGTGGCAATGTTTGGTATGGCTCTGTACATCGTTTGATCCCAGTAATGATATACTTCATTTTATATGCACTTCCCAGGTTGGGACTTACTTCCCCATTATTATTTGACTTTCAAAGAAAGGATGTGTACTTAGTGATGTTTGGTCTTTTCTTACTGGTCCGTACCAATACGAAGAGATTTATTTCTCCACAGATTTTAGGATCTCTGTGGAATCATGGGAATCTTGCCTAATTCTCCTGTGTCTCAATATTTTCCCCATAAAATGGAGAACATAAGAGTAGCTGTCACACAAAAAAATGTGTAACAAAGCTGGGTGTGGTGGTCTGTAACCCCTGAAATCAGAGTGCACACCTGTAATCCCAGAGGCTGAGGCAGGAGGACTGCGAGTTTGAGTCCTACCTGAGCAATTTAGCAAGGCTTTGTCTCAAAATAAAAAATACAGACAGTTGGGGATGTAGCTGGGGCAGAGCACTGCTGGGTTCAATCCTCACTGCCCTTCCCAAAGTGCATGTACTACAAGCAACCACAGATGTCTGTCCTCAGTAATTCTTACCCATTCTGCTCTCCTAATAAGAAATACTTTCAGTAAAAGGGTATCTATATTGAGTAGCGTTTTTTTTCCCCAGGAGAGGATGAAGGAAGAATTTCTTTGGTTCATCTCTAGTCATTGCCATCACCACTATTATTATTATCAAGAAACCTATCCCAAGTGTGGTGGTGTGTGCCTGTAATTCTAGCACACTGGAGGGTGAGGCAGGAGGGTTATCTGGAGTTTGAGGCCAGCTTGAACTACATAGCAGGACTTATCTCATCCCCTCGTGCTCCCAAAAGAAGCATTTACTGAGAGTGTATCTCTTGTGTCTGGGACCTATTGGGGAGAGGAAGTAAGATTTCTTTTGTTTGTTTTGTTTTTTTGGTACCGGGGATCAAACTCAGGTCCTTGCACTTGCGCAGCAGCTGGCGAAACCACTGAGCTAAATCCCCGGCCCGAGATTTCTAATTGAATTGGGAAAACCATCTATTCTATTAAATTAACAGGGCAAAGTATCTTCAGATGAATGTAAAGTGAATGCTATGGTTACTAAAACCTATGAGAAGTCAGACGGGAATGTTGTGAGAGAAGACAGCAGCTATGACGGGTGCTGAGCTGACCCCAAGGCCCAGGAGGTCAACTCGGCAGTCGATGGCCGACCGCTGTCTGTCAGCCAGGGGTCAAGGAGTGCCAGCTTCGGCAAGGAGCCCCTGCCAGGTCCTGCTCGGGACCTGGGCTTCTTCACCAGGGCCCCAGCCATCTGAGCCAACCAGTGACAGACTTATCACAGCGGGTCTCAATTCCTCTCCCTTCTTTAGATCCAGGATACAGAGAGAGTACAAAGGACAAAGACAGGCTGTGAAGCTGTTAGGTTGTTTGTCAGAGAATTTAAGGTACTTTCGAAGATGAGGCGAGGTGCTGAGATGTGCACATCTTGGTATCAGCAGAGGGTGAAAAGAAAATTAGCTTGGGGTTTTGTAATCTTGGAAATGGGAGCCAGGAAAGTAAGATTAGGTTCATATATCATCTCTAGAATTGTTCACATCTGTCTCTTAGTTCACAGTGTGTCACACGCCTGCTCCTCAGCCTACTTGCTGCCCTTCTTAGGAGCAGCTCGTGCCTTTTCTCACCTCTAGCAAAGAGTCCTGCTGCTGGTTTCTTTTCAGGTTGCAAGCAGAGCACTTTGCACAGGTTCTCGGGGGTGTTGTCCTGACTCTGGAATTAATTAGCTTTGAGATTTGGTACAAATCTCTTTCTGAGTGCAGGGCTTGGTCTCCCAATGGAGATCATAAACTTGCTAGGCTTAACTAATCTATCTCAAACCCCTTTTAGCAGCTAAACAATTTCCTCTGGAAAATGGAATCATTTTTTTTGTTTTTGAGACAGGGTCTATGTAGTTCCGGCTGGCCTTGGACTCACTGTGTGAGTGATTAGATGGTCCTCCTGTCTCAGCCTCCTGAGTGCTGGCATCACAAGCATGTGCCACCATGCCCAGCTGGAATCACGATTCATAAAAGCGAATTTTTTTGATGAAAACAGAGGTGAGGCAGGACTTAAAGAACCAAGAGTTCTGCCTTCAGGTCTCTTCCTCCATGGGTTGGTCACTACATCACTGTAGAAACCAGGTTGGATGCCACTGAGTTGAAGAGTCTTTAAAGCCTCCTCTGGCTATATTTGTCATTCCAGTTCCATTCATAGAAAAGTAAAATCTTAATGGAATCAGCTCAGTATCCTGGCATGTCATGGAAATGGAATACCATGTAGGTTCTATTCCTTTGGAAAAATTCCATGTCACATAGAACAAAGGGATGACTTGATCAGCCTGGGAGATAACATCACAAGCTTCTGTGGGGCAGTATGTGAGCTGTGATTAGATCGAATATATTTATTAGTTGAAGGTCAGTGATAGTTAGGAAAGGCATTTGGAAGGGGAAACATCATAGGTAAAATGCTAGGGTTAGGGGAAGATGGGATAGAGGAAGGGAAGGTGAGGAGTGATGCAGAGGCAGCTACAGGTGGATGCAGAAGCTGGATTCTGCTGAAGACTGGCCTCTGTAGCCTCAGAGCAGTGGGAAGGTGCTGAAGGGTGTCTAGGAGGCTTCTAGAAGGGGGTACCATGTTGCAAGATAAGGTTGTGATTTTCAGCGTGGAGAATAAACGGGGGGTGGGATGGGCAAGAGTGTGTGGGATGAGAATAGTCTAGTGGAGGGAGGTGCGGGGATGCAGGCACACCGGGGAGACTTTCGGGAGGTGACACTGATGGGGCTTGGTGAAAGACTGGGCATGGCTGGAAGAGCAGAAAGCGGACAAAGATCATTCCTGGGTTGCTGGTTTCAGCAAGTGGATGGATAATTTTTTGCGATTCCCAGAAACCTGGAATAGGATCATGTGTTGGGAGGAGAATCTGGCATTTTGAGGACCATCTTGGAAAGAAGAAGGTTGCAGGGTATAATTTGCTGTATTGGTCCAGAACTCAGAAGAGACCTGTGGCGGAGATTACACTGGAGACTCACTGACTTGCATCTAGCAAACAAAGTACAGGCATGGTGAGACTGCTTGGGGGAAAGAGTACAGGAAGAGAAGAGGTCAGTGGCTGAGCCATGCAGAATCTTACCATTCGGTCCCCAGGGCAGGTGGGAACCTGGCAAGGAGCATCGGCAAGATGGCGGCAGACAGGGGAAAATGGCGGAGAAGGGCACCCTGTGCAGAGTGGTCAGGAGAGATGAGTGAGAAGCCACACCCAAGGGGTTTTGTGAGGTGGGCGACTCACAGAGGTGGCAGTACCCAGAGCCACCTCCAGTGGAGGGGTGGAGAGGAAGCTGGACGGGAACAGATCCAAGGAGGAGTGGGAAGGCAGGAAACGGAGGCACAGGTCAGGAAAGGGAAGAGGGCAATGTCCGGTGCCTGGAGAAGGCGTGGAGCTGAAGTGCAGTCTCTTTTAAGTCTCTAAGTCTAGATGGTATGAAGAGATGAAAGACTTGGGCATGTAACTCTGATGGTAAGGATCCAGAAGGGATGCAGCGGGCCCTAAGGAAGAGAGAAGAGGTGTGAACACTTCCCGAGAAGGCGGGAGAGCATGGATGGGATCCAAGCTTCCACGGAGAATGGGACGGAGGACATGTGCTGGGGCTCTTATTAGCACAGTCAGCAGATCAACCTGTTCCAGGACAGGACAGCAGTTCTCCTCACATACGCGGCACTGTGTTCCAGTCATTCAACCAACCTCCACCCACACGGACCTGTTATCTACTGGCATGCCTTAGCAATGGAGGCTGTAAAGATGCATATGGAGCCTGCTCCTCCAAGCCAGCAGGAGAGGTGTGGCCAGAGCGAGCTGCAGCTGCACAGGCTTCGAGCTGTGCCAGGATGCCAAGTCACACTATGTATGATAAGGCGCCTGGTGTCTTTGGTGCTCAGCTTAGCAGGGTCTACCAAGGGCCATGGGTTCTGGACACCTTTCTCCTCCTCCTTGCCTTCCTCCTTGCAATGAATTTAGTTAAACTTTCAGTGCCTTGGTTTCTTCATCTATCAAGTGAGGATAATAGCAGGGGCTGACCTCAGAGAGTTGTAGTGAGTCTCATAAAATGTCTGAACTGTAAATGGCAAAAAGTTTATTAACAATTAGTGCTGCTAATAAGTTTATTAACATTTAATAAGTGTATAAGTTTATTAACAATTAACAATTTATTAACAATGAATGCTGGATTATAAACGAAGATTTCATCCTCATTAGAGGCAACAGCACTGGGCATGGAGGTGCATCCCTGTAATTCCAGCACTGGGGAGGCTGAGGCAGGAGGATCACTGTGAGTTTAAGGCCAGCCTGAACTACGTAGGAGACTCAGTCTCAAGAAACTTAAATAAATAAATAGCAAAAGCTAGTTGGGCAAATATGCTAGAGTTTAATCATAGAACAATAGCTCATCTTTTTCACCTACACAGAATAGAAGTGTCCCCCTTAATAATAGAGACAGGCATCAAACATGGGCACAGGGAAAAGCTGAAAAGCAAGTTACTTATGTTTTTGGTCTTTTTACATTTAGCTGTTCCACATGGACAAGAACTTTTCTTTTTTAAAAAAAGATCCTCCAACATGCCTTGTGTACTCATTTGTTCATTTATTCATGATGTATGACTTGTTGAATCTGAGTACTTAACAAATTCTGGTATTTCTTAGGAATCTATGGCCATTGAACTTTGGCTTGCAGTACTAGAAATTGAACCCAGGGCCTCCACACTGAGCTACATCTTCAGCCTTTTAAAAAATTTTTAAAGTTGAGACAGGATCTTGCTAAGTTGCTAAGATATTCAGGCTGGACTCAAACTTGTGATCCTCCTGCCTCAGCCTCCTAGAGTGCTGAGATTATACGTGTGCACCACCATACTCAACCAATTATTGGATATCCAGTCTTCAGTGCCTCCCCCCTCTTGTCTTTGGTTCTGGGGATTAAACCCAGGCAAAAGTTCTACAACGGCTACACCCTAGTGCTTCTTCCTTTTTAAAGCATTATTTGTACAACTTAGAAAATAATAAGATTTAAAGTATGCTTAAGATCAATTAGTTAATAGATAATAAGACAGGTTGAACAAATATTAGTCACTAACCGCTTACAAATATCTCTGAGAAAAAGAGGGGCCATTTTGTGTGTGGCTTTATGTCAGGTCTGTAGCTTCATGTATGTCCTGCCCTTGGTGCTCTGTGCTCAGGGGTTCTTATCTGTGGATTGAACCAAGGGAGGGTGGAAAATATTATTTAAAAGTTGCATCCATGTAGAACATGCACAGACTTTTCTCCTTTGTCATTATTACATTGTTTAGGTATTATAAATAATCCAGAGCTAAGTTAAAGGGCAGGGCAGGATGTGTGTAGCTTCTTTGCAAATCCTGCCCTGTGCCGCTTTTTGTGTGGCACCCAAGCACCTGCAGACTTTGGTATCCTGGGGTGGGGTGGTGTCCTGGGACCCATGTTCCTGCTGATATGGACAGCTATTATTTAACTAATCTCTCTTTTTAAAAAATCTAATCTCACTAGTTCTCCTACTAACTGTCAGATAGCCATCAATATCCCATTTTGCAGATAATCTAACCCTCGAGAGAGAAGAATTGTGCTTATGCTTAAACATTCAATAAGGCGCGAAGGCCATTCTTTCAGGGATCGTTTCTATAGTTGGTCATAATAAGGTGTGGGCTGCGCTCTTTACACAGCCTCTTCTTCCAGAATGCTTTCTTTTTCTTCTATTGTCCATTGCCTCTCAAAAAGTCAGAATCTGGGTCTTCTCCCTCATCCTCCATGCAAACCAAACATATGGGATGTCCATATGAATGCTCGGCAAGTGTTTGTTGAATGAATAGATCAGAGAAACAGTATTTACCTAATTGTGGTAGTATGCTGCAGTTTGAAGGCCAAGAGTAATTTATGTACATGTAAGAAATCTATCTATCTATCTATCTATCTATCTATCTATCTATCTATCTATCTATATTTGATACTGGGGATCAAACTCAGGACCTTGTGCTTGTGAGGCAGGCAGTGGAACCATTGAGCTAAATCCCCAGCCCAGAAATCTATTTATGTTAAGGAACTATTGTTGCATTTTTATGAGTGATAATGCTTTTATGGCTATGCTTAAAAAAGAGTCCTTATCTTTTGGAGATATGCTCTGAAATGTTCGTAGATAAAATGACAGAATGTCTGATAACCACTTCTAAAATGATGGAGTGGAAGTGGACAGTTTAGATTAGACAAGCTTGGCCAGAGTTTGATAAAATGAAGACACTTGATTGTGGACACAAGGGCTCATTTTATTGTCTTATCTTGCTTTTGTATACATTAAGCTTTTTATAGGAAAAAGTTAAAAATATTAGTGTTTGCTACATAAAGAAGGGAGATGAGGAAGAAGGGAAGGGGAAGTAAAAAGAATTGTGATGTTTTATGCATGTGTACCAACTCCTGATGGTGGAAGGAGTAATCATTATGCACTGCAAATGTGTATGGACAAAAATTAAAAATTAAAAGAAATAGAAGAAAAATTCAACACAAGGAAGTCTACTTTAGTTGTTTTGGGTTTTGTTTCTTAATAGTGATTTTCTTGTTTTCACTACCCTGATTACAAAACACCTTTCTAAGGGACGACTTTGGGGGAAGCTGTTTCCTGTCTTTACTTTTTAAAGATCACTTTCTTGATACAGGCAGAAGGCCCAGTTCTCGTAATTTACTGCGTGAACTTGAGTCAGTGGTGGCCTTTGTACATGGCTTTCTCACCTGGAAATGAGAGAATTGGGTTAGAAAATATTTGAAATTCTTTCCACTTCTAAAATTCTGTAACTCTGACTAGCCAATGAAGCGTTGTCAACTCACTTCGCTGCTGTTTAGTCATCAGCAGCCGTATTCATGGACTAAAAGCATGGTTCCAGGCACACCCTGGATCCAGGTGGCTAAGCCATCTCAACCTGAAACTGCCTTTTGGGCAGATCACATGGCCAGGTAATCTGCAGATGACCAGTTTACCTAGTTTGCAGCTATGCTTTTCACCTAGGGCTGGAAGTTTTGTACACAAACAACTGGTGATCTCAAAGAAGGTTCCTATTTCCCAAGAGGCCAAATTAAACTGTAATACAACTGAAATAAAAAGGCTTTCAATCCATTGATTCCATCCCTAGGAAGCTGTCCTCAATGATTAAATCTCAATTGAAATTACTGAATCAGAACAGCCTTTTAGCTGGGCATGGTGGCACACACCTATAATCCCAGCACTTGGGAGGCTGAGGCAGGAGGATCACCTTGAATTTGAGGCCAGTCTGCGCTGCATAATAAGATAAAGGCCAGCCTGACCTGCACGGTGAGAACTTGTCTCAAAATACCCAAACCAAAGAAAACAAAACAAAATCCCGAACCCCTAGCCATTTAGTTCACTCCAGCCAAATGTTGAACTGATATACTTATAACTTCTATAGAAGCCAGTTGAAGCCAGTGCTTGTTTGAGGAGGAAAGGATACATGGTTGCACAATAACGTTCTTGTGTGAGCTCAGGTGATGAGATTTGACAAGTGGAGTCTTCAAGTGTCCCTCGCTGTGCATGTACCAACGGGGTCCCCACCCACAGAGGAATGGCACGGCTGCGGGCACTCATGCACAACATTCTCACAAATTTGAGACAGGCTTCAGAGGCTGTCATGTAGCCCAGAAGATGGTTGTATCGGAGCATGCATTGGTAGAATCAGGACTTAGAATTTTTCTATATTTCAAATCCATTTGGGGCAATAGGCCTTGAAACTTTACCATATATTTAGCATTAAAAATAATCTTATGAGTGTTTGTATTCATATACGCTAGAACTTCCAGTTTACTGTCTTTTCCCTGTCTGTAATGTTAATTCTGATTTTTAGATTCCTTACAAATTAGGCATAAGATGGTTTCCTAAAACTTCGAGAAACCTCTCACTTGGAGCAATTTTAGTCCACACAATTCTTTCTCTTCAGTGGCAGCTGCTCCAGCTCAAGGAGTGATTTTTTTTTGGGGGGGGCGTTTAAAAAATTTATTGGTACATTTTAGATATACATAATGACAACATTCACCATAAGGAATTTGAACCTGTATATATCTAGCTGCTGCTTTTTCCCCCAATCCCCTGCCCTCCCTTGAACCCCTCTTCCCCTCCTTATTTACAAAAGCTTTGTTCCCATTTTGTCCTTCTTCTCTCTCTTTTCTTTCCCCTCCTTCCCTCCCCCTCGTTCCCCTTCCCATTTGCGCATTCTCTCCAGGGCAGTGGTTTTAACAGGCCCTTGGGTCTGGGTTTCCCCACAGGCGCCCTCTCCGGCCTGCAGTCTCCTCCTCTCGCCCGCACCCTTCCCGAGGGCTGTGAGGAGGAAGAGTCCCGCAGCACGGGCTTCCCTTCCAGGTGCCGGGAACTGAGGGCCAGAGGCAGCAGCGAAGGAGACCGTGGCAGGGGCAGCTGAGGGCAAGAGCAGCAGGTGGGCGCGGCGCTCAGCCAAGCCGGAGAGAGCTTCCCTTCCTTCTCCAGGCCTGCGCGGCCTCGCGGGACCCTGCGCCAATCAGGAGTCTTAACTTTCTAACGTGTATTTAAAAAGACACACGGGAAAATACAGCCTTTATCCGGGCCTGGCACGCGCGTGTCATCCCGTCACTGGGGAAGACAGCTGCGAGTTCGAGGCCAGCCTGAACTGTACAGGGAGACCAGGTCTCAAAAACAGAACAAAACAACAAAATCCGAACAAATTCGCTAGTTACAAGTTTATAGTA